GTAATCAGACCTTCAGTTTGATAGGTAACACTTAATATACTGGCCAAATTTTCCCCACATTTTTCTATTTCTAGTTCCCTTGGCCTATTTTGAATATTTCCTTCAACTCCATCATCTCTGACACACACACTGATTATACTGCCAATGTCCGTCCCCATTCCTAGGCACCTTTCAGTCTGCAGTCATGGTTCAGGACACTTGACACGATGCATTCTTTTGGCTAAAATTACAGTTCTTGTGCAGGAGTCCCCAGGTTCCTTTTAGTGGAAGGCAAAGGGAGCATCACAGAGCCAGAGTAACACAAGGAGGATGGCCATGGAGAGGCAGGAGCAGCGAGTAGATTCAGGGGCCTAGAGCGTGTCATGGCTTCAGTGCTTTGTCACGGCGCTGCCAGAAGCCTCTTGAACTCTGGAAAAGAGGAGGCACTGTGCTGGGGTGGCAAAGGCATAGCATGCATTCAGTTATCAGGTGAAACTGATTTGCTACCTAGAATTATCAAAACCATTTATTTTTTCACCTAATATTGATGCAAACCAGGGGGTGTTATAGACTTTCAGATTATGAAAAATCCTGACACAAAATAAGGGAAAAAACAACAACTGATTTTTACAGAGAGAAGAGCCAGCTGTGCAGTTCAACTCGGGAACTCTGGCCCTGAACAGGAAGGCCAAAAACAACCCGGATCCTACAATTTACCCAGTCCTTGAATGGAATGACATTAAATTTCAAGATGTGATCGGGGAGGGCAATTTCGGCCAGGTTCTTAAGGCACGCATCAAGAAGGATGGGCTAAGGATGGACGCTGCCATCAAGCGGATGAAAGGTCAGTGCTTGATCACCTTGTGCCGATGAGGGTGTGCCGACGTGACTTCCTGCTGAATCTTTCCTCCACGACCTTGTAGTCTTGAAACAAAAACACTGGCATGGTGTCAGAGTACTTGTGTGCAACCGAAGGTGGTTTTTCTGTGCACATAGCTAGTGATAAGGGCAGGAGGTTAACTTGAAGGCGGGGGTCATTTAAAAATGACTGTCTTGTTTCCATGGACCTGGCATTGTAGATTCAGATTATGGTCCCACACTGCTAACTGTAGGGGAACATCATTGTTTCCCTTAATGTAGAGGGTCTCAAAATCAAATGGGCATCGGAATCCTCCAGAGAACTTGCTAGAGGGAAAAAGTATGGTGGGTTCGACCCCAGTGAGTCAGATATAGCACCCTTGAAGCTTGTTTTGTTAAGCGCTGTCGACTGGCTCATAAAAACAAAAACAAACTCACTGCAATTGCGTCAATTTCCACTTTCAGCAACGCTGCTCGAAAGAGTAGAAGTGGGCTTCTAAAGCTATAAATCCTTCGAGATCAGAAAGCCTCATTTTTCTCCTGCAGAGAAGTTGGTGTCGTTGAGCTGCCAAACTTGGTTAGTAGCCTAACACGTCACCCGCTCTGCCACCAGTGTCCCAACTCGTCGGAACCCCACATACAACAGAACAGAGCACTGTCTGGTCCTGAACAATCTTCACAAGCATTGCTGTGTTTGAGCCCATCGTTCCAGTCACTGTGTCAATCCATCTGATTGAGGGGGCTTCCTTTCTTTGACTCACCCTCTACTTTACCAAGCACGATACCCTTCTGCAGGGGTTGCTCCCTCCTAACAACACAGTCAAGGTGCTTGAGACGAAGTCTGAACGTTCTTGATTCTATGAAGCATTCTCTCTATGCGTCTTCCAACATAGATTTGTTCGGTCTTCCTGGTTACTGTTAAACCCCAAAGAAAGATTCTTTCCCACTTTCCAAGCATGTGGTGACCAGCACCCCAGTACCACCACCACCACTCCTGTTATTTTCTAAAAACAATAGTGGAAAACTGTTACAAACTCGAAATTGGCCATGTCTGTGCATCAACCGAAAAGCTCTCTTTTTAGTCTAGTGCCTGGTGGTTGTCTGTCTGTCCAAAGTTCTAATGGTGAGACAGGTGAAAAGGTTAGAAACAAATGTAGCTCATTTTCCGGCTATCAAGCAACTTCTAGAAAAATGTCATCGGCATTTTGTTTGTTTAGCAAGAGTAAATCATGAAAAGAAGTAGGGTAAAATTATTAAATAGAGCCAGATGCGTGTGTTTTTTTATAATATTCCACTGTACTTTGGTACTATTTCTTAGTATTTTTCTCTCTGAATGGTAGACTTAGCTGGAAAAACTAAAGGCTAAAACTTGATGTAGCCTTGCCTCCCTTAAGTCATTTTTTTTCTGATTATTTGAAAACTTAGACAAGCAGATTTTAGAGCAGTAGGTTCTAAGCAAGGGTAACATTGCCCCAGGGATATTTGGCAGTGACTGGAGACATTCGTGGTTGGGCTATTGGCATCTAGTGCGTAGAAGTTACAGTTGCTCTTAAATATCCTAAAATGCATAGAACAGGGCCTTCCTCCCAAATGCCAGTCATGAGAAGTTGAGAAATCTATGTATGAAATGGTCGCTTAGATATGTGCAAGGTTTCCCGCCCCTGGGGGGGGGGGGGGTCCTAGCCCGAACACAGGGCAGCTGCTCTGGAGCGGCCTAAGCAGAATGATAACAATTCTTGACTGCCTTCCAGAATATGCCTCCAAAGATGACCACAGGGACTTTGCGGGAGAACTTGAAGTTCTTTGTAAACTCGGACATCATCCAAACATCATCAATCTCTTGGGGGCATGTGAACATCGAGGTAAGATCCTCTTTTCCTGTCTGCCCAGTCACATATGTTTTTAAAGAGTACATTCCACGTGGAAATGAGGAAAGATAAGAATCACAGCAATGCCATCTATTTTTTCTTTTTCTAAATTGTTAATATTTTATTTATTTATTTACTTGAATAACTGTTCCTTAGGCAGCTCCTATGCCAAAGAAACCAAATTCAAAAGCAGAACGTGGCTGTGAGTGAGGGTGTTTAACTTGCACCTTTCTTGACACCACGCTCACTAGTTTCCGTACGTGAATGGGCAACACAAAGGCCGGCCATCTATTTTTTCAACAGCAGTTTCACCGTCATGTCTAGTCTTGAATAGAGCTGGGGTTTCAAAGCTTGGAATCTTTATGGAGGTTGAATCTCTGGCTAAGAGTTCCCAAAGCCATCTACAGTTTCTACCCTTCCCCGTCTATGTGGACAGGCTCCCGCAACTATTCCGTGGAGAACGTCCCCTCTCAGAAAGAATAGAACTTCTACCTATTCCCTGCCTCTCCTCTTCCCTCCAAACTCAAGGACGCCTCACCTTCTGTGCCTTAGTCCTTGAATGCCCACAATCTATTGGCATGTGAAAGTGCTCAAACGATACTTAGGCTGGCCCTCTGCATTGGCTCTATCCGATGAGTGCCTTGTTTTGATCCAAAGCATTTTGATGGAGCGTTACAAGGATCCTACGGAGAACAGATCCCTCTAGTTAAACGTATGTCATTGATTTAAGAATTTGTTCAGTACTTCCAATACACTGCACAGGTAAAACTCTTTGGTGGTTTGACATCTCAATGCTATATGGTGCACTGTTCTGAATCAATGCTTAAACTTAATTTCTCGTGGAAAAATTTGTTCCCACATGCACACACACAAAATGCTTCATGAAGTAAATATTTACAAATTTGACAAGCTTTTATTGACTTTGCAACACAACCACCAACAATAGAAAAAAGACAACTTCCTTTTCCTCAATTTATTAAACTAAAAATACCAGTGTTTGGAACTCTGAGTAATGTTTCATTCTGTGATCCAATAAGACTATAATGATGTATGTCAGCTCATCCCTCAGGTTAAATAATGAGGTAATAACTTTTATTTTTGACCTTTTACAAATGTATTTCCTGAAAATAATATATTTGTAATACACTAGTGTGGGACAATAGTAGATAAGAGTTAACAAAACAAAATCATCAACAACAGAAAATATGTATCTTTAAAATTTTTGCCCCATGAATACATTAGCATATGAGTTGACTTTGAAATTTGTTTTTGTTTTTTTCTTTGCCAGAACTTCAATTTATTGGATGATTTTAAACTTTAGACTATATTTAAAGTTCAAAATTATTCAACATTTTAAACAAAGAAAAATGGTTCACTGCATAATCACATTTAAAAGACAGTAAACCCATTAGTTTCATTGCTGCCAAAGATAAAAATGCATTTGTCAAAACAAACACATTTTTTAATGTCTAATGAAAAGAAAAATAGAATAAAAATAAGGAAAGAGATCATAATTTTTCTTGAAACTATTGTTTTATTTTTGTCCAAACACTTGAATTTTCTGGTTCCTCTTTAAGCAAAACGCAGTCTTTGAAACTAGATTCCCCTGGCCCACACTGTGAATGAGAGTCTGCAGGGAAGAATAAATAGCCATAGAGTCACTCCGTGTGGGTCCTTTTGTTATGCTTAGTCACTAGCTTATTATCACTTCTTTCAATAACCTCAGGAAATGCTAGAGATCCCGTGAAATAGCAAATCACATCCACAGTAGATTTTCAAACAATACTGAATAAAGATAAAATGTGATACAGAGAAGGGCATCCTAGATTTTCTTGGTAAACGACTCCTTTAATTCCATTCTACTACTGTTTCCTAAATCAGCCCTGCTGGTTCTGTCGGGTAAGCACTGACCTGCTAACTGCAGAGTTGGCAGTTCAAACCTACCAACCACACAGAAGGGGAAAGATGAGGCTTTGTGCTCTCAAAGGTTTACAGCCTCAGAAACCCTATATAGGGTTGCTATGAATCTGAACTGACTCGGTGACAGAGGGCACTGTTGCTGTAAGGAGCCCGGGTGGCACAGTAGTCAGAGTGTAAAGGTTACATCCTTGGAAACCCTATCCGGCAGTTCTACGGTGCTTTCCAAGGCTGCTGCGAGTTGGAATTAACTCAGTGGCCTTGGGATTATTACTGTGGAGTCTTTCAGTGAAAGGCCTGACAAACTAGGTCTGAGAAAGCAGCCACTGGAAGCCCATGCTGCAATAATTCCACTCTGATGCCGTGAGGGTCACCATGAGTTGGCGCCGACTCAATGGCAACATTTCTTTCTGAGCAGGCGAAAGGGTCGCAGGGAGCTCCCTTTTTCACATCCATATTTTGAAGGGGAAGTGGGAGAGAGGGGCCCTGGGGGTCAAGTCTGGGTCCCTTCGAGTATTGCAGGAGGGTGTCCCTTCTGTTCCTCCTATCAACCAAGGACTTAGCTTGGTACCATGCGATGGAGTTCTTTCAGGTAAAACTCCATTTTGGACATTATGTTTTGTGGAATGTGTCAAAGGAACAAATATTGCCTGAGTCCAGAATGATAAAAAGTCAAGGAAAGGTTTACACATAGGTAAAAAAGATTTGATGGACAGAAGGGAAGGGGTAGGTAAAAGAAAACTAGTGCCCACTGGCCACAGCCTCGCGCCAACATCTCACAGCTGTTTGGGCTCCTTGCCCGCTGATGCCCTCTTCATTTCTCCGCAGGGTACCTGTACCTGGCCATCGAGTATGCGCCCCACGGAAACCTGCTGGATTTCCTGCGGAAGAGCCGAGTGCTAGAGACGGATCCTGCATTCGCCATCGCCAACAGCACCGCTTCCACGCTGTCCTCGCAGCAGCTGCTTCATTTTGCGGCGGATGTGGCCAGGGGCATGGACTACCTGAGCCAAAAACAGGTCTGCGCAGAGAATCTTCCTCCGGACAGCCCTCCTCTCCACCGTTCTCTGCACAATCGCAGTTTGTACAGCGTCTCTTCCCCAGTGCTTTCTTCCCATCTCCCAATTAAAAAAAAAATATTTGTATACTTCATAGACTGTATTTTTCTTGAGAAATGAAGTGTGTAAGCAAATTCCCTATTTTAAAAAAATCTGGCTGTGCAGGAGATGATTTACAAGGCAGATCCTCGTTTTACATTCAACAACTCTAATACACGGCCATTCAGCCATTCACTGCCATCCCCTCCACGGGCCATCAGGCCTCCCCCTTCCTCCCAGTGCTTCCTGTTTTCATTCCTCTCATTTTCTCACCCTCTGAACTGTGTCGTTGGTAAAGGTTGTGGCCCTTTCGATGTTAAGTTTTCGATTATTCCAGCGTGAGAGTGAATTCAGTTACAGGCCTGACAGCGAACGGTCAGAGGCCTGAGACTTCCACCAAGTCTCTGCCTGATCAGCCAGCCTGTTATTTTTGTGATTTTGAGTTCAGGTCCACATTTTTCTCCCACTCTATCCAGAATCTTCTAATGTGGTCCTGTTCAGAGCAGTAAGTAGTGGTAGCTGGGCACCATCTAGATCTTCTGGTCTCAGGAGACTAATATTTGTCTGGTTTCTTAGACCATTACATGAATTGTTTCCATGTGTCTTTTGATTTCATTATCCTTATATCCTCTAATGGAGATAGATCAATGGTTGCATCTTAGATAGCTGCTGTCGGTGAGCTTTTAAGGCCCTGTTAGCTACTCACCAGAATGGGATGTGGAACAATCTCCCTAATTTTAATCTCTTTACTTACCTTTCACCATTTTTAGTGAAAGGAATACCCAGTTCTGCCAGTATGCATATAACTCTCTAGTGAATTTCATCCAAATATGTATTTTGTATGAGTCATACTCCTACCAAGGTCACGAGTGGGCTTTGAGTCAAGCCTGTCAACGTTTCTAATCTGTAAGAGTGTACATACCCCGACCACAGTCCTGTCCCTCTTCTGTCATCCTGTCTTTGCCTGTGATTAACTGATTTGATACCAATCATGGTTTTGCGATGGAATTTCTTTGTTTCCCATGCTTTGTAAGTTAGCCGCGTGACTGTGAATCCTCTGATACCTGAGGCCTGACACTTGGTCTCCTTCACCAGGTCACTTGTCTTTGTCTTTGTCTTTGTCTTATAGAGGACTTAATAAAGGGGTCTCTAAATAAGTAAATAAATGGGTCTCTATAAAATGGAAAAAAATAAAACAAAACATATCCTTTGGGAGGTGTGTTACCTATGTCATTGTGTTCTTGGCTCAGAATAATGTTGAAGCTCAGAGGTATGAGATGGAAACCAGGAGATTCAGTGACTGGGCTTGTGTTTTTGGCTGCTGAAATTGCTTCTCAGATAGAGTGCACCTTTGGGCAGAATTCACAGCTGAGAATTTTGCAGAAGAACTGTAAGGGGCTTGGATTCAGACAAAAAATTTTTTTTTAATTCTCAAAACATTTGCTTTCTGTTTGAGCCCTTTGTATCAGCTCCTCGTTTTTTTCCCCCTCCCTCCCCGCTCCCCTTCTCTCATGAACCCTTGATAATTTACAAATTATTATTAGTCATATCTTACACTGTCTGAGGTATCCTTTCACCCACTTTTCTGTTGTCCATCCCCCATGGAGGAGGTTATATGTAGATTCTTGTATTCAGTTCCCCCTTTCCATCTCACCCTCCCAGTATCGCCACTTTCAGCACTGGTCCTGAAGGGATCATCTGTCCTGGATTCCCTGTGTTTCTAGTTCCTATCTGTACCAATGTGCATCCTCTGGTCTAGCCAGATTTGTAAGGTAGAACTGGGATCATGATAGTAGGGGGTGGGGAGAAAGCATTTAGGAAATAGAGGAAAGTTGTATGTTTCATTGTTGTTATACTGCACCCAGACTGGCTCATCTCCACCCCACAACCCTTCTGTAAGGGGATGTCCTCTTGCCTACACATGGGTCTTGCGTCCCC